ACTTTCTCCCGACCCCTGCTACACTGAGCAGCCTTCCACATGTTATGTGGCTATCATCCACACAGCCACTCAGGCCATGAATGTGGGGTTCACTCTTGATTCTTATTTTTATTCCAATACCAGAAGTGAAGCCATCACTACATTATGCTTTTCTACCTCTAAGATATGTGTATGTAAATATATATACACATGTGTATTATATGCATTAGACACTTATATGTTTCTACTCACTTCATTATACCTCCACTATCACTACACTCTCTAAGCCAGTGGATCTCAAAGTGCCACCAGCATTACACAGAGACTCTTAGGCAAATGCTTCAGCCTCCTCCCACTCTGAGACCTTCTGAATTTAGAGGCTACTTTTGGACAACAGGTTTGAACAATGGAAACTTGATCAAGGTAAAAGGGTCCACAGAGACCTCCTGGCTGAATATAGACAGGACCATGAGGCAACCTACCGCAAAATATCCAGAGGCCCTAAATGACCAATGGGCTATTTATAACCAAGCACAGTTACCAAAGGAGGGAAATTCCATACTTCTCCATACCTCCCCACCTTCTCTCTTTAAAAACAGCCCCATCAACTGTCTCCTTGGAGAATCTCTCCTTTGCTCTCCCTCCCACTGCTCCCTGGTGGTGTATCCAATAAAATTCGAACTCCTTAGTTGTGCCTTTGGTGAATCCTTTCACCATCCATGCCACCTGCCTCAACTCGATCCCTACTCCACATTTTGGGGCCCCCACCCAATCAAGACAGACACCACATGAATCAGAAACTGTGGGCGTGGGCACGAGCAAGGTACGTTTTCACAAATACTCCAGATGATCTTGCTATATGCTAAAGTTTGAGAAGCCCTGCGCTAACCATCCTTTTTTAGCCAGACAGCTCAAATCAACTCTCAGGTGGTCTTCCTCTCCCACTCTTACCTCTTCCAATTCATTACCTTCCTAGCAGACAAAGTAATTTTTTATTCCTAAATTTGATCCAGTCATTCCCTTGCTTAGTACTTCTTAATGGCTTTAAAATGCACTTGGAATAAAATTTTAAAAATGTTTTAGCATAGCCTGCAAGTGACTTTATGCTGTGTGTCTTAGCAATGGCTCTAACCTCTCTTACCACTCCTCCTCCTGTCCCTTAGTCATGCCATTGCAATGTCAGCCTCCTGATCTGCTTGGTAGATCACTCATACTCCTCACATGGCTAGCTTCTCATCTGGGAAGTCTTTCTCCACTTCCATTATTCTCCCTGCTCCATACTTCTTCTCACAACTTTGGGATCTTCTCTGTTTCCTTTTGTGTCACGTACCACTATTCCAGATCATCAATTCTGTGACAACAGGGACGACATGTGTTTTCTTCCCCATCGTGCACCCACTGCCTCTTGAAATGTTTACCATGTCATAGATGCATTAAAAACAAACAAAAAATGCATTAAATTAAAAAAATAGGGTGCCTGGGTGGCTCAGTTGGTTAAGTGTCCAACTTTGGCTCAGGTCATGATCTCGCAGTTCCTGAGTTCGAGCCCCACATTGAGCTCTGTGCTGACAGCTCAGAGCATGGACCCTGTTTCACATTCTGTGTCTCCCTCTCTGTCTGCCCCTCCCCTGCTCACACTGTCTCTGTTTCTGTCTCTCTCTCCCCAAAAAAATAAACATTAAAAAATTTTTTAAACAAAAAATGAAAACCTGTTAAATGGCTAATCAAAAACAACTCTTATGAAGGATAAAATACAAACCAAATAAAGAAAAATAAGATTGGTATTGATGTTGGTTCTTAAAAATTGTGGGCTTAAAGGGCGCCTGTGTGGCTCAGGTGATTAAATGTCTGACTTTGACTCAGTTCATGATCTTGCCATTCATGAGTTCAAGCTCCATGTTGGGCTCTGTGCTGACAGTGTGGAGCCTGCTTCAGATTCTGTTTCCCTCTCTCTCTACCCCTCCCCCACTCACTCTGTCTCTCTCTCAAAAATAAATAAAAATTTAAAAAAATTAAAAATTGTGGGCATACCAATTCCCAGGTAAGGGCGCCTGGGTGGCTCAGTCAGTTAAGTGTGCAACTCTTGATTTTGGCTCAGGTCATGATCCCAGGGTCATGGGCTTGAGCCCTGCATCAGGCTCCATGAAGCCTGCTTGGGATTCTCTCTCTCTCTGTCTCTCTCTGTCTCTCTCTCTTTCCCTGTGCCCCCCTTCCCTGCTCATGCTCTCTCTCTCTGAAAAAAAAAAAAAAAGGAATTCCCAGGTAATATTTGAAGTTGGTGAAGCATGGTTGGGATTCTTGTGTGCATGGACAAAATGAACAAATTATACATGCCAGGAATTTAACATTGGTGCAGGGGGTTATGCTAGCAAAGATTAATGTACCTATACAATCTTGTGGGTTTTATAATAAGCCTCACTTCACATGTGTACCATAGACCTTGATTCCCTATATTTAGTTCTGGCTGATCCATCTTTGTATGCCATAGGCAACACCCAATCAAAACACACTTTGGGTATGTCAGCCAGATTATGCTACTTTGATTTGCTTTTCATTATTACCCCTTGAGTCTACCTGGTCAATTTGGTTTGTTTGTTTGTTTGTTTTGCTTTCATTTTCTATTTTTGCTCAAAATTTAGTACACTTTAAGTTAAGGATAATTTTAGCTTTTCCTTTGCTTCTGGTACTCAGCACACATCTTAGCCATGGCTCACACTTGCGGTCTGGCTCTATCACAGTCTTCTGGACTCAATCATTGTGTGAGCTCACTTGTATGGAAGATCTCAGGAGAGGAAGAACTAGACAGGGATGAGCAGAGCTAGGCCGGGCACCGTACAAATGAGGTAACTGATCTGTGGTGGCCGCATCAGCCTCCAGTCCTCCCACTTATGAATAATCCTCTCTTCTTATAAACCATGCCCCCAAACTCCCCACTCCCATAACATTAATTCTAGATTACACTCTCAAGAAGCCTTACTCTCAGGAATTTCCAAAGTGTCTTCTAAAGGTGTAGAATGATAAATGGTATTAGCTTAATTTTGAGCTTTGTAAGAAGCATTAGAAGGAATTTTCTGGGATAGGGCCTGCGATAGTTCATTTTATCTGCATGAGGTACCCAACTATTTGGTTAAGCAGTATTCTAGGTGTGTATCTGAGGGTGTTTCTGAATGAGATGAACATTTAAAATGGTAGAATGTGTAAAACAGATTGCTCTCTCCAGTGTGAGTATACCTCAACAAATTTGAAAGTGGAAATGCAACATAAAGGCTAAGTAAGAAAGAATCCTCTCTGCCTGTCTTTCCTTTGGGACATGAGTCTTCCCCTGATATCACACTCAGACTGGAATTACACCACTGGCTTTCCTGGGTCTCCAGCTTCTCAATTATACATCTTGGGACTTCTTATCCTTCCTAGCTGAGGGAACCATTGGCTTATAGTCTATCTATCTATCATCTATCCTATTAGTTCCATTTCTCTAAAGCAACTAGAGTAATTCAGGAACCTTCTGGACAAAATGAGATCATGTGTTCATATACAATGTAGCATTTATGAACCTGGGATGTTCTACCCAAGTTGTAAGCCGTGCCCAATGTACCCAGCTGCAAGGCCACTGCAGGAAGGGACCTGCTACAGCATCTCTTGAAGTGTAACCCTATCCAGCCCACCTTAGCACAGTGGCCCCAGAACACTCTTACTTCTCCAGCTTCTGTTGGGATCTAGGTTCCAAGATCCCAAGCACCAAGCTGGGGCCTGGCCTATTTAAGGGAGAGGGGAGAAAGGAGAGGATGTGTGGTATGCTGAGTTCCAGCTATGTAGCCCAGCCAGGATGGAAGTATCCTGGCTCATGTTCTTTGCCACTGTGAAGACTGGTATATTTATTTACATTAACAATAATTTCAAATGGGGCATTTGAAATATTATTAGAAGAACACCACTGAATGTTTAGTCTGACATATTAAGAAACTAAAAAATTGTTTTAAATGGCCAGAAATCTGTTAGCTAATATTGAGGCAGGCACATTCCAAACAGAACATCAACAACGTTACTAGAATATAAATGATAATCAGACAAAGTCACTCAATGACTAAGGTGGGACAGGACAAAAACAAGGCCACTCCACAACTGGGTCTGGAACTAGTTAGAAATAAGGATACTCTGCAACCACAAAAATGACATCTCCCTTTTTCAGCTCTCGAAAGTGCCTACTACTTCTTTGTTAGTGAAAACTCTTGCTCAGCCTTTATCTTCCCATCCTTGGAACAAACATTACCAAGATGTACAACCATCACCTTATGTCTATTTCCTTAGAGGATCAAAGCCAAAGCCTTTGTTTCTCTAAACTTCCTAAAAATCACCAATCTCAGCCCCAAACATATAATAAATGACATCTGAACTCTTTCATAATTAAGAAGTTTTGCTGACAGGAGCTTCTCTTCATGAAACAAGTTAAATAAATTAACTGTGTTTGACGACAGACGAGCTCTTGATAGCTCTGGCTGGTGAACTTTGACATAACATTGCACAAGGAAGCAGCTACTTACTCAAGGTCATGTTTGACATAAAGAGGAAGAGGTTATGGAAACTAACAATGCAATTACTCAGAGAATCTCAGTACAAACCAAAGTGACTCACGGAAATGCTTTAAAACATACATCACCAAATGAAGAAGAAAGGAAGGAAAGAAAGAAAGAAAACCTGACCAAGAGAAGGATCTTTTAACATATTAGCTGGTAACTTGTTGGTTAAACAATCCAAGTCTCAGGCTAAATGAGATCATTCACGTTAAGTCCTGAGTATAATGCCCAGCAGAAATTCAAAACACATTTTTATCTTCATAATCCTCATCATGATCATTCTCTTATTACTATGGATTATCAGTTGCTACAGATGATTATAACAGAATGCATGCTCACTTGTATATGCATGCAAACATACGAGCAAGGAATGTTTGCCTAATTTAGCGTATTTGAAGTCTGCTCTTTCATCACATGAGCAAAGGAAGAGGAACAAGTAGTACTCACATTGAGCTGAAGTTCATCTGTCCACTGTCCAATCAGACGGTAACCAGGGTTGGTGGTGTTTGTTGTCTGGTACTGAAAGATGTCATAACGCCCTGGTGCATCCCCATTCTTGTTAAACATTACTGGGGTGCCTGCACTACCTGAGGGAGGCAAGAAAATAACAGATCTCATAAACAAGATTCCTTCTACCTCTTAGGCCTTGGGTGATGGTCCAGAAACCAACTGATGAGCAAGGTAACTGGTGGAAAACCCCATTATTTAATGGTTCCCCCCCAAATGGGCAATAGGCAAGTCAGCACTATGGTCTGCGGATTCTTATTACAGAAGGTGGAAGGTGACCAGCCACCCCCTTTGAAAAGTTATATGTCTCAGTATTTCTTAGTATTTTATACAAATCTGTCCCCCTTGAGAAGAAAATTAAATGCATTATTTTCTAGGGACTATCTTAACTTGTATTATTATTTTAGTTTCCACCTAATGATTGACTGTGGTTAGTAAAGAACCATTTCAAAAATGATTAATAGATTTTTAAAAGAAAATCTAAGAGAATTATAAACAAGCACACAAGGAAAAAAGTTTATTTAAATATGTACTTAGATATTAATTGCACTTAAACATATTTGTTGATTATTTCTAATTTAAATGATGAGTCTAAAATGCTGAGCAATAAACCTGGAAAGTGTTTAATAGATATTATTCTTTTCTCAATATCTCAATGTGGGTCTTACTTTTTTAAAATGTGGGTCTTAGGATGAAACCCATTATTTTGGCAGAATTAGGCACTGAAGTCAATTTAAAAAGACTAATACATCTATTGTGTGTCTGGGTGTGTGTATGTGTGTGTACATCTTTTGGAAATTAGATATTAATGAAAAGCTCCTTAGTATTAACCACATGGAACAACTGAAAAACCATATATAGAGAAGGAAAGATGGGGGTTCGGCTTACTTTTAGCAACAGTTACAAAGGATTCATCAAAAGTTGGCACAATGAGTGTTCTTTCTCTTACGATCCCTTGGCAATAGGATAAATACCACTGGCCTCAGGGTATATGACTGGTATCTGCTCTGTAAGTTAATACTGGATTGATAATTTTCATAGAAAACAATGGTATATTTCCTGTCTTTTATAAGTAAGTTAAAGATCATTTATAAGCTGCAACAGAATCACTAAGAACAGAAGTTCATCTTGCTAATTTTTCATGGGGAAGGGTAGGGTAACTTCGGGTAATGAGAATGAAGCCCTTTTAAGAACTCTCATTATAAATTTAAGATCCTATGATGGCAAAGCTCTACATTTGGTTAGCAAGGTCATTAGCTTCTGCAGAATTTGGGGCAAGATGATATTTGCATTAATAACACGGATGGAAAAAAAAGGCACCTATACTTAAGGAAGCAGGCATGATGCTGGGTGACCACAAGTGAATGATCACTTAACACAGAACAGAGTTAGAAAATGGGTCCAGAAAGAGAGACAACATACTAAGTCATCAGAAACACACAGAGCTACAATCCTGTGCAGAAAGTTACCTCTAGTGAAAGAGGCAGTTCAATATATAGGCAGGATACAGGAACAGTTAAAGAACTCCACACCATCCTACAACCATTGGGCACAGTATTTGATGACATTTTGTTATTAAAAATGAAAAAAAAATGGAGCTTATGATAGGCTTAATAATGGGTCCCCAAGTATTTCCATGTCCTAATCCCCAGAACCTGTGAATGTTACCATACATGGTAAGACTTTTTACAGATAATAATGAGGGATCATGAGATGGGCTAAGACTATTTTAGATTACCTGGGTGAGCACAGTGCAATAATAATCATCCCCATAGGTAAGAGAGAGCAGGAATCAAATGAGGAAAGAGGAAGGAGTTGTGATCCCAGGAGGGCAGGCAGCCCTCACAAGCTAGAAAAAACAAGGAAACAGATTCTTCCACAGAGCCTGCTGAAGGAACCAGCCCTGCCTTCACCTTAACTAAAGCCCAGTGAGACCTGGGTCAGACTCTCGAATTACGGAACAATAAGATCATAAATGTATGTTCTTTAAGCCACTAAATTTATGGAATTTTTAAAGTAGCAATAGAAAACTAATCAAGAGCTGGAGGACACAGAACACCAAACTTCTTAATTTTATAGGTCACAAAGTATACTTAGGTTGAAATTCCTTGCCCCAGGGTCACTCAGCTAACTAAACTAGAATAGTGCCTAATAACTGGCTTTGGAATCCCCAAGAAGGGGTTTTAATTCCAAGAACCACCTACTATATGTGCGACCTTTATCAAGTTATTCTTTCTGCTTCTGTCTCTGACTGTCCCTAGTGACACCTTTCTCCTAGGGTTAGTGAGGATCAAATGTAATAAAGTATATAAACTGCTTATTACCATGCCTTTTACATAACAAATGCTCAATAGATGGTAATGATATTTTTAACTGTTTTAATTGTTTTCTGTTTTTAAAGAAAGTTCTGCCTGGTTTTATTAAAGAAAAATTTTGTGTGATTTACTTTACACCAATCTGTACTGGCAAGCTTCTAATGATATCAGAATCATCCGGATCAATGATAGCCAGTGTGCACACACGTACTCCCCCCCTGCTGCCCCCAACTCAATATTATTGTCACTGCAGTGATGGACAGTGGTTTTGGCCAACATGGCATAGTACTCTATTTCAGATTTCCTCAAGGCTGGGCAGGTGTTGGTCAAGATGAGCAGTTTTCTTAGCCGCGTCAGATCATTTCCAGTGTCTGCTTGTACACCAGCGTGTACTTTCCCCTTTTCGTAATGAGTTGGAGCCTAGGTTGATCAACTGCACTGACTTTTTCATCTTCTTCATAGCCACCATCTTCCTGCCTTAGGGGCAGAACGGCCTCAATGAAGAGAAGCCACCAAGTTGGCTGGGAGCGAGAAAGGAAACACTTCCATTTTTTTATCATTGTTTTATGTGCTCATATCTCAAGACCAAAACACCTGCCTTCAGATATTCAGGCTGTCTTTTAAGGCAGAAAATATGTCTCTCCTAACTGGTATCTTATTTTAATTTCTCTATCAGTGATTTTTTTTTCCCAAAGAGTAGACTAGAGCCCATTCTGATGATGTACACTGACGTACGAATAGCATTGCTTTGGTGTTACCAAATTGAATCAATGGGTGCATTTTGTGTGGCCAAGGGCACCATTTCAATTTATTTCTTCTATGTTTTATCTGAAAGCTATCCCCAGGGCCCACAAAAACACCCAATTTTATCACGAGAGAAAGCTCTTAAGCCTTCTCTGTATGCTAATCAGCATAAGCTTTTTCAGTAGAGACAGAAAAAAAAACACATACAACATCGATAACAAAAACAGCTTTTTAATACAGGATTTCCACTTTCAGTGAGCTCTAAGCATAAGGAAAAGAAACAAAATCTGGATTCCACATGTTATTAGCAAGAAAATGAAAATCCTATCATTTCACAGGAAGATATTAATATTCATATGCTCACCTTTCTTTTCTTCCACATTGGATGCTAGGATTCATGTTGTGCTTTGTGGTAATTCTACAGCTTCTATTCATTAAATACCAGGACTTGAGCTTTTCATAGTCTTTGAGACGAGAGAGCAGTAATACTGGAGGCCTGGGGCTCCAAAGGGTCTCTAGCTCACCAGCTAAATATTCACCAAAATGAGACACACCGCCTAATCTTTCTCTCTTCTTACAATCTTTGTTAGGAGAAATGATTCTTGTCATGCCCTTTCCGTTCTCATTAAAGTTCATGCTTAAAAAAAATATTAAGGCAGAAGAGGTGAACACTTTATCTAAGTGATGACTGGTAATAGCATATTGTGTGGCTTTGACCTTTTTGATGGATTCTATAATGCAACTGGGCTTATTATTTCCAGGGTTTTTTCCGCACAGCTCCTTTTTAACAGCATCCCTGAACTTCTTGAAAGAGAATAAAGGGGATTTTGTTCAATGAAGACTATATTTTAAAAAAAGAAAAGATCAAAGAAGTCCAGAGAGGACAAAGAAGTTATCAAAAGAGAAGTGATCCCCTGCAGAAATGTCCACAGGTATCAGGGCCAGAACCCAAGGGCACAATAGTGAAGGAAGCAGGGCCACTTGACAAGCTGGGATATTGAGAGGAAACTGGATGACAGCAAGTATTTGTCTTCCACCTCCTCTATTGAATTAGAGTATCAGAATGAAATTCCTTTCTTCTAGGACAGAGAAGAATTCGGGATCTAGATTTCCCAGATGACAAAAGAGTACTTTGCATCAAGGTATTTAGGATTTTTCTCTCATTTTACCACTTCATACACAGATTCCAGAAATGCTGCATTGATTTGTGTTTAATTATCTACTGCTGCTCAACAAACCACCCTAAAAATTACTGCTCAAAATAATGATGACCTGTATTTTGAAATCCAAGCAGGGCTCAGCAGGGACATCACCTCTCTGGTCCACTTATGTCAGAGGGGGCAGCTTGAAGCTCACATGCCTGATAATTGATGCTGGCTGTCAGCTGGGACCTCAGCTGGGACTATGGCTGGAGTACCCTCATATGGCCTGTTTGAGTTCTTGGCTTGCTCCCAACATGGTAGCTGTTTCTGTAATACTAATGTGTCAAGAGTACCAGGCAGAGTACTTATGACTCTTATGCTGTAGAAGTTACATAGTGTCACTTCTGCATTAGTCACAGCCTCACTCAGATTTAAGGGGAGGAAAACCAGATCTTGCCTGCCAATGAAGGAAAGCTAACGTCATTTTTCAAAAAAAAGACAGGAGGTGTGTCTTCCTTACAAAAATATACCCCAATCTACTTTGTTCTCTGGAAACTAACAAATCTAGATACAGACACACTTCACATTAAGTACTTCACTATATAGCAATGCTGTAAGATTATGTATGTGAGGTAACAAATTTGTTAAATTTACATCTACAATAATACCATCTAGTTGGATGGGCCAACACAGACATAACTAAATCATATTTAGGCTCAAGTCATTGCATTCATTTGGGATGTAGGAAAAAATGGTTGTAAATGATAATGACAAAATTAGCCATCTTTTCTCTTACTGAATAAAAGAAGGTTAAGTACTGGGTGAACCTGTAGTAGTACTTTTAGGGCATTTTTTTATTTCATAAAATGACGCTTTGGTAAATGTGAAGTTTAGAGTTATTAAATTGTACTCTACTCGTCTGGAACAAAACTCCCAGGGGTACAAGAAACTTTGTACTAAAGTAACGTAAAAGCACAAAATTAAGCTGATTGAGACCAAGAAAAATAAAAATCCTCCATAAAACACGTAAAAAAGTCTCCATCCTAAGATGTCGGTCAGCAGGAATGATGCAGTAAACCCTTATCAGAAACTTAAAGAATTGTAGTCAAGGGAGCAGGCTGTGGAGTTAGGTGTCCAGGTACCAAAGCGAGTAGCATCATTACTGTGTATATACTTTTGAACATCGTTGTTCTTAATTTCTCTATGAACCACTTTCCTTATCTATAAAAAAATTAAGGAAAATAACAGAATCTATATAATTTGGTATTAAGTAAGCCAACTCAAGTGAAGTACTTAGCACAGGATCTGGCACACAGTAATCATTTGATAAACAGGAGCACTGTGTCCAGTCAGAAGCTCAGAAACTCTAGCTCATCAGTGGGAAATGTCATCTTGACCAAATCAGTTTACAGACATTACCTGGAAAAAGAGTCAGGGTAAAGTCACCAAGGGCATTTGCAAAATCAATTGTTTTGTAACTAGGGTAAGAATGGCCATGCCATTGTTATACATAAATAAGATGTGGATACTAGGTGTTGTCCTTTCTACCAGGATCTTATTACTGCTAGCCCTCTCAGTGGACAGAACTAGGCAGCACAGGTATGTATACATATATAACATTCACAAATCTATTTATGTATCTACCCATCTGCATGCATATTAAAAGCCAAGAGTTCATTCAGGTATCTCCCATCCAAACACAACAAGGTTCCTTCTAGTTTTCTCTCATTCTTTCTAGTAACTTCTTTCTCTAACAGTAAGAAACATGGCTCTCATTATCTACAATATACTCATTATTCTCTCAATCCTCTCACATACGTAAATTATTTTCTTAATTGTGAACCCACAAGTTTACTAGCTATTGTACAATAATTGTGTACAGTTATTTTTTGCCTTTGGTCTTATAGCATACAGTCAAATACTATCTTCCAAAACTACGTGTGCTCATTTTTGATTCCCCAAACCCCTCAGTGTGGTTACATTGCTCATATATAATATATTTAAATTTATTTATTACTGTCTGTATTGAATTTACACCTACATGATGGCTAATTTTATGTGTCACCTTGACTAGGGATGCCCAGATAGCTGGTAAAACATTATTTCTGGGTGTATCGGTGATGGCATACTTGAAAAAGATCAATATTTGAACTGGTGAACTGAATAAAGCAGGTGGCCCTCCCCAAGGTGGATGGGGGTAGGGCATCAACAAGTCTCTTGAGAGACTGACTAGAGCCCAAAGGCAGAAAAAGGGCCAATTCACTGTCTCTATTTGATCTGCGACAGGTGTGTTCTTCTGCCCTCAGCACTGTTGCTCCTGGTTTTCTGGCTTTTGGACTCAGATCAGGACTTACATCATAAGCCCTCAGATTCTTAAATGTTTACCTTCGACTGAATTACAACACCAACCTCCCTGGTTCTGCAGCTTGAAGACTGAAGATAGAAGGCCTTCCCTGTCTCCGTAACTGTGTGAGCCTATACCTATAAATTAGTCTCTTCTATGTATCTCTACAGATGTCCTATTGGTTCTCTCTTTGGAGTACTCTGACTAATGTGGCCCGCATTCAGGTTTATTTTAATTATTTGTTTACTTTTTGATAAGTGAAGTGTTCACATGTTGTAAAGACTCAAGACTATATTATCAGAGAAGTGGTATTTCTCCCTTATGCCTTCTACCTGATTTGCCCATTTTCCCACACCCATCTCTACCTACTTCTCTTAGGTAACCAATTAATTTCTAACAGAGTTTTATACTCTGAGAAATGTGTGTAATGTGGGATGTGGTTATAGCAACTTACAATCATTACTTCAATTTACTTAGATCCCTTTCCTTTCCTCTCTCCCCTCCCACTCTTACTAATAGTTACCAAAAAAGATAAATCTTAACTCCCAAGTATTTATTTATTTTTTCCTTCATTTGCTTATTTATTGTTCATAAGATTGATTTGAAATCTTATCACCAACCAGGTCTTAACAGTAAATAATTTAACTACATAACTCAGGAAACACAGGATGCCAACATGTAGAATTCCCCAAATCATGGATATTTGGTGACTTACCATTGAAATTAACATTGCGGATATACTTCAACAACTTCTTTCCCCCAGCTTGCTCCATTTCCGGACAGACCCCTCGGTAGTCGGCACAGAGATCCTTGTTCATATGATGAAGGGCATGAGCCATTGCATAGACCGCATCAATCACAAACTGAACTTTACCCTCCTGTTCATAGTTGGAATCTTTCCCAATTCTCTCCTGTCCTGCACATTAAAACAAGAAACATGCACACACAAAGATTGGTGTTGAGTAAAGCATCTAAATTTGCATTCACATCCAACTATGCTCAAAGCAAACAATGTTTTGGAGAATACAATAGTGCAAACAGCATATCCACATTTAGCTACCATATTAAGTTGTTTGGATAGTGTTTGGCATTTGACTTGGTAGTCCATTACGCTAACCTTTCCAACGTATTAGACAAACCTGTGAAGCACACTCCACAAGATCACAATGGCTTTTGTAATAAGCCAACATACTATTCAAAATATAGTGGTCCCATAGAATAAAGAGATTGCATGGATTAGAGGCTGGGACGCTATATTCAAAAGTTCAAAGCTTACTCACTCTAAAGAGGTGATGGATACAAGGGAAAATGATATAAAATAAACTAAATTCCACATATGAACTTCTGTATATCCACTCCACCTTTTGTCTGGCTCAATGGTTGGTATTCCTGACAACTCAGGTGCTCAGGCTAGAAACCATGTCATTTTTTATTGTTTCCTTTTTAACTCTCCCACCCACAGATATCTAAGAGAAGCCAAGTTCTATCAGCTCTATCTCTGTAACACTGAACATATGCAGCCACACTACCAACACCCCATTTATGCCCTTCTATCTTCCATCAGGATGCAATCAATGCTAGATACCTCCCTTCATCTTATCTGGTCATTACTCCATATCCATGTTTCCGAATAACAGAGCTTATCACCTCATCCTCATGCTCAGGGTTCTTCTATGTTCTTCACTGCCTACAAAATAAAGTCCAAATTCTTTCCCTTGACAAATCAGAGTGTTCATCACTTTGCCCCCATCTGCCTAATAGGAAGAAGAACTGGGATTAAGTGCCCTTCACTGTGTTGGAAACTTGGCACACATTATTCTTATTTCATTCTTACTTTGGGAGTTAAACATTATTTATCCTCACTCTACAGATAGAAAAGGTCAGCTTTATAGAGATTAAGTAACTCCCCAAGATCATTTACAGGTAGAATGATTATGATAGCTCAGGTTCGTCCAACCCTAAAGCCCACTACATCTTCTTATTACATCAGCCCCGCACAACCCTTTCCCTGTAATTTTGTTGTTGTTGTTGTTCCAGATAGATATGACGCTCTATTTTTCTGAATACACCCCACCTCTAATGTCAAGTTATATTTTCTTATGCTCTTTACTTTGCCAGAAACATCTTTCCTTCTTGCTTTCACTCGTCACAACTTAATTCCCTCTCTATGATGCAATGCAATGGTTTCCTACACTTAGTCATATTTAAAGATTTTCATCACATATAGTAGCACTATATTTTAATGCTCTACTAGGTTTCTAGATTTTTTCATTTCCTTTTTACCTTATATTGCTATCAGCAAACACAGCATTTAGTATTTAGTAGATTCTAAACAATACTTGTATTAAATTATGCATTCATTAAGTACATGATACCAGGAACTCCCTTTAGACCTCTTGATCCTTTAGAAAGAATAATTACCCACAGATTGCATTTCACTTTCACAGCAGAATTTCCTAAATTGTTTTCCATGGCACATTTCTAAGTGGAAAAAAAAAGCAAGACGAATGCTACAACTCCAGTCCTCTCCCCTGAAAAATCAAAGGTTCCTGACAGACATTGCATTACTTATTTTTAGATTTCTTTACTGACTTTTCCACACCATTTAATGTTATCAGAAAAATTATAATCTACAGGATGAAATTTCACAATTTCCCAAATTTTCTTGAATTTGTATTTTTCCTTTTCAAAGCACATATTAATATCTCATAGGGAAGACACTTCTGTGTTTTATATATATTTCATTTAACTACCAATAACCTCATGCTGCTGCCTGTCATTGGATCTAGACTTTTCAGCATGTGTACAGTAATTTTTTTGTAAAGTTTATTTATTTTGAGAGAGAGAAACAGAGAGCGAGCAGGGGAAGGGGCGGAGAGAGAGGAAGAGAGACAGAATCCCAAGCAGGTTCCACACTGTCAGTGCAGTCAGAAGCAGGGCTCAAATCACCAACCATGAGATCAAGTGAGCCAAAATCAGGAGTGAAGACGTTTAACTGACTGAGCCACCCAAGTGCCCCAGGATTTTTAGTTTTTGAGTAAGATAAAATTGATCATAAATCCATAGTGCTACTTCCAATTGAAATTCATGACTACAGGGGTTTTTTTGTTTGTTTGTTTTTGTTTTTTAATTAACTTTGGCACTCTTATACCTCTACTGCCTCCCTTTTATGAGAAAAATATTGGTTCTTAATAATACCATTCTGGTTATTTATTTGCTTTATTCCATAATATAGATCATGTCAGTATATCTTGTCTAACAGTCTAAAAAGTACAGTATATTAACTGCCTTCTGAAAATAGTTTTTCAATGTTTTGCCTGTTTTGGCGATGGATTCTAAGAGTGATTGCTTTGTTAAAGAGTACATTCATATGTATCTTTTGCTAAATATTGACA